GAGGTCAGGAGTTCAAGACCAGCCTGACCAACATGATGAAACCCCGTCTCTACTAAAAATACAAAAAGTAGCCAGGCATGGTGGTGCATGCCTATCCCAGCTACTTGGGAGGCTGAGGCAGGAGAATCGCTTGAACCTGGGAGACGGAGGTTGCAGTGAGCTGAAATCAGGTTTCTGTACTCCAGCCTGGGTGACAGAACAAGACCCTGTATCCAAAAAAAAAAAAAAAAAAGAGCTCTACCTTCTATGCTGTTACTGCACATCTATCCAAACAGGATGTCATGAGCTGCCTTCCCTGCAGATGGCACTGTTTAATGGGTTTAGAAGAAGGAAGCCACAGGGCCCTTTGGAGGGAAAAAAAAAAGTCTGGGGTGAATTTTTATTCACTCACCTAACAAATATTTGAGCATCTCCATTTTTCATTGACTCTAAGGTTTAACTATACCACTATTTTTCATACAAAGATTAAGGGAACTTTGTATCTTTAAAGAAGCTACCAATGAATCAGGCACACTTTACTACTTAGTCTTCGAATCATTTTATAAAAATTGAAAGAGCTCTTATGGACATTTTTAATCATATCACTCTTGTGCTGCATACAAAAGCAAGTGTAAACAAAATTTATTGGTTAAAGTCATCCTAAAATCTTTTTACAGTGAGTCTCACTCTTCTAAATCACTTCTTGGATCACAGTCATCAATGTTCCTGTTTCCCCACAAACATATCTCTCTTTGAGCCATCACCACCATTGGTGACGCAATATCTCTTAAAAGAATGCTTCATTCTTATCTCCAGGTTGTATGCCAACTGGTGGTACTTGTTTCTCAAATTTTCATGCCAGCACTCTCTGACCTTACCAAGAGGTGCCAACAGAAAGTTTCAGACCAAGTTCTCCATGTGCAAATGATGACAGCTACAGCATTCCTGTCCACTGACCAATCATTATATATAGCTGATTACAAACTTTCTAGAATTCTGATTGTTTTTGCTGTGTAAAAAACGTCCATGTTAGAATAAATGAAATATATCATGTGCCAGTTCTGTTCTATGCACTGGAAATCTCATGTAGATGACATTATAATGAAAGGATGCACACAATAAAAAATAAGCAAATTACATATCACATTAGATGGTGATAAATACTATGAAAGAATAAGGCAAGTAAAAGTTTAATGTAGTACAGAGGATAGGATTTTAAGTAATTTTTTGAGTAAGGGAAGGCCTCATTTAAGCAGAGTTCTTTAGTTGTCAAGGGAACTGATCATAGAGGAAAAGGGTTTGGTTGTGTCCCCACCCAGATCTCATCTTGAACTGTAATTCCCACAATTCCCACATGTTGTGGGAGGAACCTGGTGAGAGGTAACTGAATCATGGGGGCAGGTCTTTCCTGTGCTGTTCTCATGATAGTGAATAAGTCTCACGAGATTTGATGGTTTTAAAAATGGGAGTTTCCCTGCACAAGCTCTCTTCTCTTACCTGCCACCATGTGAGAGACCTGCCTTTCACCTTCCACAAAGATTGTGAGGCCTCCCCAGCCATGTAAAACTGTAAGTCTACTAAACCCCCTTCTTTTGTACATTACCCAGTCTTGGGGTATGTCTTTATCAGCAGCATGAAAATGGACTAAACAGTAAATTGGTACCAGTAGAGTGGGGCACTGCTGAAGAGATACTTGAAAATGTGGAAGCAACTTTGGAACTGGGCAACAGTCAGAGGTTGGAACAATTTGGAGGGCTTAGAAGAAGACAGGAAAATGTGGGAACGTTTGGAACCCCCTAGAGACTTGCTGAATGGCTTTGACCAAAATACTGATAATGATATGGACAAGGAATTCCAGGCGATCTGAGGTGATCTCAGATGGAGATGAGGAACTTGTTGAGAACTGGAGCAAAGGTGAGTCTTAACATTTTAGCAAAGAGACTGGTAGCATTTTGCCCCTGCCCTAGAGATTTGTGGAAGTTTGAACTTGAAAGAGATAATTTAGGGTATCTGGCAGAAGAAATTTCGAAGCAGCAAAGCGTTCAAGAGATGACTTGCATACTGTTAAAAGCATTCAGTTTTGTAACGGAAGCACAGCATAAAAGTTTGGAAAATTTGCAGCGTTACAATGTGATAGAAAAGAAAATCCCATTTTCTGAGGAGAAATTCAAGCTGGCTGCAGAAATATGCATAATTAATGAGAAGCCAAACATTAATCCCCAAGACAATGGGGAAAATGTCTCCAGGGCACATCAGAGGTCTTCACAGCAGCCCCTCTCATCACAGGCCCTGTGGCCTAGGAGGGAAAAGTGGTTTTGTAGGCTGCGGGCCCCAGGTCCCTGCGCTGTGTGCAATGTAGGGACTTGGTGCCCTGCATCCCAGCCACTCCAGCCATGGCTGAATGCAGAGTCTGAGCAATGGCTTCAGAGGATGCAAGCCCCAAGCCTTGGCAGCTTCCTTGTGGTGTTGAGCCAGTGAGTGCACAGAAGTCAAGAATTGGGATTTGGAAACTTCCACCTAGATTTCAGAAGATGGTAACTAGGAAACACCTAGTTACCAGGCAGAAGTTTGCTGCAGGGGCAAGGCCTTCACAGAGAACCTCTGCTACGGCAGTGCAGAAGGAAAATGTGGGGTCAGAGCCCCCACACAGAGTCCCTACTGGAGCACCACCTAGTGGAGCTGTGAGAAGAGGGCCACAGTCCTCCAGATTCCAGAATGTTGGATCCACCAACAGCTCGCACTGTACCTGGAAAAGCCACAGACACTCAACGCCAGCCCATGAAAGCAGCCAGGAGGGAGGCTGTACCCTGCAAAGCCACAGAGGCAGAGTTGCCCAGCACTGTGGGAGCCCACCTCTTGCATCAGTGTGACCTGGATGTGAGACATAGAGTCAGAGGAGATCATTTTGGAGCTATAAGATTTGACTGCCCTGCTGGATTCTGGACTTGCGTGGGGCCTATAGCTCCTTTGTTTTGGCCAATTTCTCCCATTTGGAATGGCTGTATTTACCCAATGCCTGTACCCCCATTGTATGTAGGAAGTAACTAACATGCTTTAGATTTTACAGGCTTATAGGCAGAAGGGGCTTGCCTTGTCTCAAATGAGACTTTGGACTGTGGATTTTTGAGTTAATACTGACTTTGGGGGACTGTAGGGAAGGCATGACTGGTTTTGAAATGTGAGGACATGAGATTTGGGAGGGCCCAGGGATGGAATGATATGGTTTGGCTGTGTCCCCACCCAAATCTTGTCTTGAATTGTAACTCCCACAATTCCCAAGTGTCATGGGAGGAACCTGGTGGGAGGTAAGTGAATCATGGGGGAGGGTCTTTCCCATGCTGTTCTCATTATAGTAAATAAGGCTCATGAGATCTGATGGTTTTAGAAACAGCAGTTTCCCACACAAACTCTCTTGTCTGCTGCCATGTGAGACGTGCCTTTCACATTCTGCCATGATTGTGAGGCCTCCCCACACACGTGGAACTGTCATTCTATTAAACCTCTTTCTTTTGTAAATTGCCCAGTCTCAGGTATGTATTTATCAGCAACATGAAAACAGACTAATACAGAGGCCAAGGAGAATTCCAGGCAGAAGGAACATCAGATGTAAAGGTCCTAAGGCAGGAGCATGCATTCAATGAATGGCAAGAACATCAGGTAGCTAAAGCTGAATTAGGAGGATGGAGCAGCAAGGTAGATAAGGGCTAGCATTTTCTAGCCCTCTTCCCTGGGAGACGAGACAGAGTGCTAGGGCCTTAAGGGCCATAATAAAGACTGTATGACTTTTACTGTGAGCCGGATAGATACAATGAGGGGTCTTCCGCAGAGGATGCCACAATCTAACTTGGTGTTATAGACTGAATTGGGTCTCCCAAAAAGATATATTGAAGACCTAACCCCTAGTACTTTAGAATATGACCTTGTTTGGAAATAGGGTCATTGCCTATGTGGTTAGTTAAGATGAGGTCATGCAGGAGTAGGGTGGGACTTTAATCCAATGTAACTGATGCCCTTATAAGAAGAAGGAAAACAGCCATGTGAAGACACAAACACACAATGAGTAAAGGGTTAACAAGTAGTAAGACACAACATGAATGGTTGGCAAAGAATATAATGTTTTGTGTTACATGTACTTTGAAGGACCATCATAGACTCACAAAGCTCCTTAGAGAAACGGAAACTTCAAGGCAGACAATAAAGCTAATACTCCCAGAGTCTGCCTGAGTGTGAGGGGAAGTTCAGGGCTTAGCAACCAAAACAGCTGTCCTGCAGTCAGCAAGTATTTTGGAACTAGTGTGCAAAAGAGAAGTAACATGTATTGAGCAGCTACCATATGACAGTCATTTTGCTTCATTTATTTTATTATCAAAGATCAAATATTGATGACTCTTTCCTATTACTATTGCTTTTTAAATGTTTTAATAACCAACATTAAAAAGCAGGAAATTTTATACCAAACTTCTGCATTCTTTTGAAAATTAGAAGATGTACATTTGTGCTTTGGCTAAATATGGACTGTACCCTCAAAAAAATGGTTTAGACTTTCCAAACTACCTCAGTTTTCATCATTTTTCTTCTTTTTATGTTATCTATCTAGACACTATTTATTTCTGAAATGTTTATTCTTTTATAACCCTATCTTTCAAAAATGGAAGATATGTACATAAATGTATAAGATATAGATAACTTCCCGTGGATGGGACCAATCCAGGGGGGTGGGGGATCAACGGAAGTGCTTTTTTTCTCTCTTTAGAACTTTTTTTATATATATTTACTTTTTTCTGTTTCAAGGTCCTCTGTAATATATCAGCTCATTTTGAGGGATCTCACTTATCAGTGGTTCTTGGGTTTTCAGGCACTTTATGCAAATGTTGCAGGCTCCTTAAACCAAATATCTTTTAAACTACATACAAGAATATCTGCAAAGGCATTTTTGTAGGAATTCTTAGCAGTAACCACACAATGCAGTAAAAATCTAATACAGAACACAGCTTGGCAGAGACGAAATAATCCATGCTTACCGTAAGCAAATGTTAGTGTGTAGGATGAGCTTCAACAAAAACGAAGGCTATTTTCAGCAAACTTTTACACTCAGTAGTTAGTCCAGGCAAGGCTGCTAATGAGGTAGTTCAATGTCATTCCCCCTAACTTAGCAGTAGTAGAAAATGAAAGGTTACGGCTGTTCAACTAAGCCAACGGGAAAATCATGACTCTCCCACTCTAAACTATTTCTGGATCCTTGTGAAGAATTTGCCAACTCCCTGATGCTCTCCCTTTTGGCATATGGAATATTTTCACCAACACACACAAAAAAACAGTACTGATTCTGACATTGCAAGCACAGCACCATTCTCAATTTTATTTCCCATAGGTGAAGCTTTCACCAAAGGCCATGCTACTTCGTTCTGAATCCGCTTCAGGACATCACTATTTCCTCTTTTATCTTTGCCTGGAAATGTAATGTTTGGGCAAAGAAGGAAAAGGGAAAGTAAGAAGCAGGGATGAGTGAGAGAGAGGGACAGCAGGAAAAGGAAATGGGTGGGAAACTGAACACTGCAGTTTTCTCACAACCCCTGACAGGGTGCGTCATGGGAGATGCTCATTACTTAACAGTACAGTGAGATTCCAGAACATCAGCCAAATCCCTAGTCTAACCTGGGCATAAAATTGCATGCTAAAAATAAAATACGTTTTTCCTCAAATAATTTATTTAAAATTATACGTGACATTCACATGGAAATTAACACCAAACTGCAATATGCTTTTCATTTCCAATGTACAAAGAGTTTTGTTTCTGAGAATGGCAAATTCTAAACAAGTAAAATAAATATGGCATTTATTTAAATAGACTGGGCCACAGATTAATCTTAATTAACTGGTGTTAATTGATGGGAGAGAAAATGTCCTATCAGAATTGTTGTAAGAACTTTTGAATGTTCTTGACATGCATGTATTTAAAGATATACTAAAAAGATTTTTAGTTTAACAGTTTTGGATTACAACTCCAAGGATGGGGATGACTGACTATGCATTTGATATGTGTCTTATCTAATCATAAGGTTCTTTCCCCCATAGCACAGTACATATAAATGCAAAGCGTTAGTGCTTGGCTGACTGTAATAGGACATCTGCATAAAATGAATAAACTTAACACCTCACCCAATAAGCCAGAAAATACCAGCACTAAGAATGCAGACAGCGCCAGCTTCCCTCCCCCGAACTGTGCTGCCCCGAGAATCCCGAGCAAACCATAAAGCCAGCTTGGAAAAGATGCTCCCAGGAACAGAGACGGAGTAAGGCACCAAAGCAGGACGCCATTCCACAGCACTGAGATGATACAGAAGTGGGAGAAGTGGGAAAAAAATATCTCTTGGGAACATCAAAGGCGCGGCAAGCGGTGGGGCGTGGCGGGGGCCCCGCAACGATTTTCCAAAGCGGATCACGGTCCTGGAAGGAGCTGTGCAAGCCCCAAGGAAGCAGCCGGCAGGCAGGAGCTGGGCAAGCAGAAGGGTCTAAGCAGCACACGGCAGCCGCGGGACCACAGCTGAGCACAGCGGTTCAGCGCTCCAGGTGCCTCGGCATAGGAAAGCCTTGGCCTACGCGCCAGCGTTCGGCCGCACTGGCGGCGCACGCACTCGGCGCCCGTAGAAGTTTGTGGCCACTGGGCGGCCGCGCGCGCGCGCCCGCGCTTAGCTCTCTCTTAGAGTAATGCTTTAAATCTTTTTTTTTTTTTTTTAGATGGAGTTTCCGCTCTTGTTGCCCAGGGCGGAGATGCAGACGACGCGATCTTGGCCACCACAACCTCACCCCCGCGGTTCAATAGCGAATTCTCCCTGCCTCAGCTTTCCAAGTAGCTGAGGATTCTACAGGCATGAGCCACCAAAGCCCGGCCTAAATTCATGTATGTCAGTAGAGGACGCGGGTTTCTCCACGTTAGTCAGGCTGGTCTCTAACTCCTCCAACCTCAAGTGATCCGCACTGCCTGTGGCCTCCTAAGGTGCTGGGGATTACAAGTGTGAGCCATCACGCACCAGCAAATCCTCCTTTCAAGCACACATCCCGGGCCTATATGGGGAGGGGGAGGAGGGAGGGGAGGGATGCAAATTGGGAGTTATACGTGATGTAAATTGATGAAGTTGATGGGTGCTCGACGAGTTGATGGATGGGCACACAACCAAACATGGCAACAATGGTATTGACAATATGTAACAAACCTGGCAACGTTGTGCACATTACCTAGAACTTAAATAATAATAATAAAAAAAAAAAAAAATGAAGCATCACAGCTTTGGGGAACACTCTGATTAACGGTTTCTCACTCTCTGTCTGCCTTTTACCAACACCCTGGCTCCCATTCTGGACTTGGTGGGCTTTTGGCTTAAGGGACAATGGAAAAACAAGAAATATTTTATGAATGAAAGTAATAAGTTCCTTCCAAATGAACGCTATATATGAAAGAGAGAGACTAAATACGCAAACTCGATCCACTCGGTCCTGATTAAGACAAACATTCTTGCATGTCTTCGTTGCTGAAATGGAAACTACCCACTCGTACCACCATTTTCTGAGTTTTCCAGCTAGTTTTCATTCTTAAATTACTGGGGTTTTTTGAAAGAGAAGGACAGGAGGGGTATGAATACACTGTTTATATTTAAAGGATGATGAAAATGTCAAGTAATATTTTCCATGAAAACACTGAACAGTTTCTATGAACTGTAACCAACTTTAGTCCTAATTAACACACAAATCCTTGCTGCTCCCCTTACTAAAACAGAAAGCAGTAGCTGTGTTGGTGCAGCAAGCCTATGTGTGTTGGTTGCCTATTGTCTCACTACCATCTGTGCCTTTCTCTGCCCTACAGTGTTGGAGCCAAGAGTTCAAAAATTAGATTTTCCAGCCTCCCATTTAGGTTCTGCCAGCAGGAAACACTGATGGAGATTAAAAGACGTCTATCTTCACCCAGTTATTTTCAAATAACAAATATCTAGTCAATAAACCCTATTGACTAAGGTTTCCCAATATGAATAGGATCACACAGGCAGGACTTGAGCCCTCAAGGTTTTGTTAGAAATATCTCAAGAAGATCCTCATGAGCATGTTCCAGAATGATGTTATTACTAACTGGAGAGTGGTCATTGAAATAAAGAAGGATGGTCCTAAGGGATCACTAAAGGTTTAGTTCCTAGAGTGCCAAGAATAAAAACTAATCTCACCCTATTGATCTTGAAGAAAGATACAGAAATATTCTGCTATCGCTGTTTCCCAAAGCCATGGGCCTATAGGAGGTCAAACTTTATACTCTTATTTCCTGGTTGATCCAACAGTGTTCATTTCTGTCATGGATACTAAATCTTTCTTAAAGGAATTAAACAACTATGTAGGATTATTCTCAGTCTACTGTATTTAAAACATGACTTGTACACTAACAGCAGGTGGAGGACAGAGACCCTTCCATGCCTACATCCCAGCCTAGGTTGTTTTCAGATTATAACCCGGTCGTCAAGAAGCAAAGGCACAGCATATTTTATTTGTAAGATCAACTCCACATAAAAATTATACTTAGACATCATATTATAAGAGACCATGCAAGGGCAGCATGGCCTGTGTTTAAAAGGAACACTATTTAAAAATATATGAAGCACTGGGCACTATCCCAACCCAATGTCCTCTCAGGAAGTGGCACCAAAAATTGATAAATCTGTAGTGAGTGGTTCAAAAATTAAATTTTAAGTAAGCTGTAGCAACAGAGTTATCAGGATTGCCATGGAAGAACCTAGAATATAGCTACATTTGCACTCTCATGGACTAATGGATGAGACATATTAAGTAGGAGTGACGGATGAGATGCCTCTACCTACAGAGAAAAAAGAAAGGTAGTTAATGAAAAGTTTCCAGTGTAACCGCTTGATAAACTTGGCACAGAAAACACATTGACTAATACATTGACCGGTGAACATGGAAGACCTACTATGTGCCAGGGATTAGAGGGAAGGGCTGAAAGACTTGAAAATTTTTATTCAAGTGTCTGAGCACTACTTAAAGGGAACAGTTTATTGACTCAGATTATGTTTAAACTATACTAGAGATTTTTGTCTATTTGTCATAACTAGGGTAAAGGGAGACTTATTGATAAGACCAGGATATATGTAGACACATGGAAGTAGCATTTTTTCTAAACATGATTGAAATGTAATGTGAGACCCATCACATAGACACTATTTAAACAACAAATACCCTCCTTAGTAGAGATTCGAGCTTTTTCTTCCTTATGTCAATATGATCATTTCTATGTGGACACTGCCATGTTTTGTCTTTTCTAAGGATCCTCACTGAGGAGTCTTGAAAATATGGAATCTGAGTCAATCCAAATAAGCTAGGGTTGGTTAAGTTCCAGGGAGAATGAGAATTGGTAGAGGGAGGGTAATTTTGGAATTCTGTAAGATTGTTATGGATAGAGCTTGAAGTGGTATCCAAAGATGATGAGCTGAAAGTTTTAAAGAAGACACAATTTGCACATCAGATTACATTTAAACATAAACCAGTAAGTCTCATTTTGTCTCAATTCATTTTTGTTCCTTCTACTTTCGCAGTAGTAGATTTACTACCACTGCTACCTCTCTGCCTTCTACTTGTCTTTTTTTTTTTTTCTTTTTCTTTTTTTAAGGATTAACACCACTCCCATTTAGGGGTGTTAGTTCAACAAACAACAACAAAAAGTCCTACCACAGGAAAATGTTATTCTAAACCAGAAAACGTTAGCTCTGATAGCTAAATAAAAATCCCAAGACAATCTCTTACAGCATACTGAGAACCTGGCTCTTTGTTGGTGCCATTCTCTCTAAAAGTTACGCATTCAATCACTTGATCCTGAAGATATAGCAAGTTTTCAGGGTTTCCAAAAGTCATGGGGTCAGTATATTAGAAAACTCTGGCCGGCGCGGTGGTCAAGCCTGTAATCCTAGCATCTTTGGGGACGCCGAACAGGGAATACGAGGTCCAGGAGATCGAGCCTTTCCTGGCTAACACAGTGAACCCGTCTCTACTAAACAAAAATACAAAAAAACTAGCCAGGCGAGGATGGCGGGCGCCTATAGTCCCAGCTACTCGCAAGGCTGAGGCAGGAGAAATGGCGTAAACCCGGGAGGCGGAGCTTGCAGTGAGCTGAGATCCGGCCACTGCACTCCAGCCTGGGCGACAGAGCAAGACTCCGTCTCAAATAAATAAATAAATAAATAAATAAATAAATAAATAAATAAAAATCTCACACTGACAGTACACACAGTGCTACTGCAGGGTACAACCTAGGGGTTAGTTTATTATTTGAAACGCTTGCAGCTCTTACCTCTTTCTGAATCCCACACTCAGTGGCAGGGTAATTAAACTCATATCCCTTCACAGTTGGTTACAGGACAGCCAGTTCCTAGAGATGCTTCATCAGAATGCAAAATATGATCCTAACCAAGTAAAGTTGGTTCAGCCACAACCCAGAACATAGAGGAAGTACATCCTACTGACACTGTTGAAAAAAAATATTAAAAAGATTTAGATAGCAATTTTACGCTAAAGGACACCCAGAGAAAGTTTGAACATAGCATATTTAAAAACAACAAAAAAAAGATACCGCTGTAAAACAGCCTTGAGAGATACAGTATGATCACTCAGATGAAATGGTAAAATTGTAAATGAAGGATCAGTCCCATTCAAGCTTATCTGGAGACAACCTGTCTCCTCCCCTTCCAGTACTGTTTCCTTAAAAGTTCAACATTGGCTGGGCGCGGTGGCTCACGCCTGTAATCCCAGCACTTTGGGGGGCCGAGATGGGTGGATCACGAGGTCAGAGATCGAGACCATCCTGGCTAACACAGTGAAACCCCATCTCTACTAAAAATACAAAAAAGTTAACCGGGAGTGGTGGCGGGCACCTGTAGTCCCAGCTACTCGGGAGGCTGAGGCAGGAGAATGGCGTGAACCGGGAGGCGGAGCTTGCCGTGAGCCGAGATCGCGCCACTGGACTCCAGCCTGAGCAACAGAGCGAGACTCCGTCTCAAAAAAAAAAAAAAGGTTCAACATTAAGCTAAATATGGGATGCTGTCTCTGCTTCTTTTGCTGTGTGGGGTTTACTCGGGATTGGGGGAGCCTCAAGCTGGTGTGCTAGCCTTGAGTTTACATAATTAGGCCGGTGTAAATGACTAATAGGGCACTGAAGCTGCAGCTTCTATGGCCTCTGACTCTCATCCCTGGCAGACATCTACGACCCACGTGGGTGAAGAGACAAGGGAAACTGTACCCTGGGGCATTTGTTAGACCTGCCAATAAGATGAAGATCTGCACCTGCTCTGTCTCCACCCTGTATCCTTCTGTGATGTACAAGGAAGACAGTCTCAGATTAAAACCTTGTGTG